TATGTATGTGTGTGTGTGTGTGTGTGTATGTGTGTGTGTGTGTGTGTGTGTGTGTGTGTGTGTGTGTGTGTGTGTGTGTGTGTGTGTGTGTGTGTGTGTGTGTGTGTGTGTGTGTGTGTATGTATGTATGTATGTATGTACTTACAGGATGATAATCATATCAACTTATAATTTCTAAATATTAAGATTTCAGAATTGTGGCATATCTTCCAAAGTGTATTTATTTCTAGCTGATAGTTTTGTGTGCCTCTGATATCTAAAGTTAGAACTGCAATGATATGTAGCTTAGAAATTCCACAATCAATCCTGTATAAAATCTGATACCCACTTTCTAAACCAGAGCACTATATCAGTCTTACTTTTCAGTACGTGGGATACCCAGATATGAACCTTTTCAAAGAAGAATTCGAACTTGATCTTGATGATGAGAGCTATGAGCAGATCCATGTACCTGACTTTGGCTTTGGTCGCCAGGGAAGGTTCATTCATGACTTCAAGGCAGTAAGTTGCTGTTTGTTATCATTTAAAAAAAAATGATAATGGTTAATGGTTATATAGTACTATGGTAAAGTATTATGGCAAAAAGAATTAACAATAAAAATAGAATGTTAGATGTCAAGTGGTTATAGATCATTTTTTAAAAGATGCTTAAGAATTAAGCAGATTTTTCAGATTTTGTGACAGATTTTTCATTAGGTTTTGTTTTTGCTTTACTGATTTATGATTGCTGCTATAGTATTTTGTGAATAGAAAATATGATGTGCTTTAGAGTTTTTTTGTTTTTTTTTAATAATGATATGAAATCATCTGTTTGTGTAATTTTCAGAACAAAACTGGAATCATTGACTTCACCTCCAAACGTTGCTTTGTGATGCCTCTTGACCGCAATCATGTTCTGCCTCCAAGAACTGTGTTTGACCTTGTGAAGAAGATGTGGATGGGTATGATTTTTGTAATTTTCCAAAGATTTATTCAATGTTAGAAATATTAATGGTTTGTTTGTTTTTTATCCCATGCTCTTAAATCTCAAACAATTGTATCACATAATGTTTTGATAAAATCGTATTTCTGCATTATTATATCCTTACTGAAAAAATTATTATAACATTTTGTGATTAGTTATTTGATATGTAAAGTATTAGTACTCTACCTTCTTAGTGTAAATTATTTTACAATTGTTTATTTTCTTAACAGGTTACTACAACATTGACACAGAGGTAGTGCGTGAAACCATGCGTGTGGTTTACCCACCAGTAGAGGACTATGATTCATTGGGAATGTACATTGCCAAGGATTGTATAAATTACCCTACCTACCGGTTGGAACGAGTTTACACCCCAGGTACGTTACTGATCCTGATGTTGAATTTGCAAGATATCTTCACTTCTCCTACAGTTTTTTTTTAATATTAATGTAAATTGTCTCTCACAAACTATTTTTCTGTTTCAGAACTCAGGAAGCGTAGTGTAGATGCCCAGAACCAGGAGCAGATTCAGCTGGTTGAGTTTGCTGGCAAGAAGATCATTCAGTATGTCATTACAGATCCTCATGAAGACAGCCAACAGTGAGGCTCTTCTTTGATTCAATAAGTGACTGGAAAAATTGTCAGTCTTGCTGTCCCTGCACTCAGGCAGTTAAGGAAAATAATTGTGGACAAAGCCTTGTGTGAAGAAAATGAGAGAAGACAAGGCTTTTATTTTGTGAATGGAGTAATGAAACCCCATAGTTACAGGATTTGCTTTTCACGGTATGGCTTTACAAATGAGTAGTGAAAGGTGACTAGAAACTGGTATTGTATTAACTCATTTCTGTTGCAAAAATATTCAATTACTCAATAACAAGGCTTAAAATATCTGATTAAGCGACATACAAAAGAGGTTCCCTTATTAGATTTACCAGAATTAAGCTAGAATGGTTGAAGAAAGTTAGTGAGTGTGAAGATAATTAAATTCCCAGATGTTCTGATGAGTGAAGAGAAGCATACTCAACAAGAACTCAGTTTGAATAAAGGTACCTCCTACATCACCTTTTTGGAGATGAGGTAGGACTATGTTCAGGGAATTTCCTATTCCTTAAAATCCTCTGATCAGATGTTTAAAATTCTACAGGTAATTAATATACCACCATTATTTTCAAGTTGCTCATATTACAAGTATTAGGTTATAAATTAGATATGATATAATTGCTCTTACTTGAGAACAAATTTGTGGTTGATGCCATTTTGGTCTTACTGCCATATATTTATTATTACATGTTCATTAGCCAAAAAAAGAAAAAAAATATATGTGACTAGTCAGTCTGAAGTTCACTGATGCACATCTACCAAATCAGTGAAATCTTCAAGCATTTGAAATTTTGTATTATTGATTTTTTAATATGTAAAGACAGATGCATAAATGAATATTGGATTGTTACATTAATTTTCAAAGTACAATAAGCACTTCTGTTTTTCTGTTACATTGAGTTGCAGTTAAAACAAACTGCCATTTAGTTGAATTGTGTTTACTTGTTTCATGTAGTTTTCTTTCTTGATGCTGTAGGACGTGTGATTTATTTTAAAAACTTGGTTATAAAAGTAAAAAAAACAGGGTTTAAGTAAATAAAGTACAACACTTATTTAAATTCTATCTTTAGTGTAATGCCAGTCTTATTTTAGAAGGGGAAAAATTATATATTAATTAGATTAAATATTCTGTATTGCCAGTGACAGGATTTTATAATGTGCAATGGAGTGGTTGGCTTTAATCATGAGTGTTGGTTCAGTGATTATTTGGGTTATTAATAAGAATTTTGTGTAAGTCTATGTAGTGCCATTATTGTTGTATTCAATATAACTGGTTTTTATTTACTTTTAAGATGATGGAGCTATATATATAAATGTTCTACTGCTCCATTTCATGTGTTATCTCATAATAATCTGGACATATTTACAACAAGTTGAAATATAATTACCAAGAATTTGAAATAATCTATAGATATTTTAGTTATAAATGGGAGATAATATACTCTCAGGTTTTGTTTAAAAATTTTGTCACCAGATATAATGTCTGGCATGTCACTATAAAAGACATTATTTCATAACTGTATCTTGTATTATTTCATACTGTAGGTAGTCTTGACAGCATCGGTTCTGATACCATTGCCAAATTTATCAGGATGCCTGGACAAGTAGCTGTTAAAAGGTTTCCATGAACAAGAGTATTAGGGTTAATTTAGTGCTTCTGCATGGACACATGTACCCATCTGATGACAATAAATAGCTGATTTAACAAAACCAGACCACTCCATACATGACTTACAGTATGATAGTCCTAAACCATTCCTTTCCCTATACAAGAGAGGGAGGAAAACTGTCTAAAGCTTTGCTCACTATACAATGTTTTTGATTAAGTAGAGCTAAGATCTGCCTTTTAAGAATTGGACTTCAAAAGAATGATCTCCTAAAAATAGGCTTTCAAAATTTATTTTTTCCCTCCTTTATTTATGTTTTCATGTGCCATTTCAATAATAAAGGTATAAATAAAGGAATATACTGGTGTGTACATTTTGCAGAGCAATGGATTTGTATTTTCTCATTTAATCACAGCTGTTGTTTCTATGGGACATTAATGTCAAGTCACCTGGAGGTTGAACAATGCTTTAAATGTACAGAATCTGCTTGTATTGGAGGTTTTTAAAATTATGTAGCTGACACATTATATGTATGTCAATAAGTAATTAGGAAGTCATGTTAAAGCAGGGACATTCTGTTGACCAACAGATATTTTGTATTGCTAAATCAAGATATCAAAGGAAATGCCAAGTGAATATATCAGTACACAAATTTTAAGAGATCTCCTACATAAGCACTTGCCTCCAGTGAGCTTTCATCTTGGAATTCTGAACACTGCTGATATTGTGCTGCCTGACCCCATTCTAGTTTATAATTTATTCATCTCCTTGTAGGAAAAGACCCAGTACAACTCACAAAAAAAATTAAGCTTGGGGAGGATGTGTATGGGATTTTATACAATTACTCACTTTAGACAATCATTTTTCCCCTAATTGAAGATGTCAGTACCCTTACCACATTGAGGAACTTCAGGGCATAGCAGTCTTGAATGTTTACACATTAATATCAATTTTTCCCTCTTTAGATTATGGAGGAAAGCTCAATAGTAATCATGTTTGGTAAAAATCTAGCCATTCTGCACAGACTTGCAGTTGTATTAGCTGGGTCGATTTTAAAGCTTTTGATATAATTTCAGAAGTTAAAAGCTTTATCTTCAGTATTATTATAATTTTGCATTCCCTTTCCTTAGATCCTGAATACCATATCAATATACTATAAGGCAGTTGCAGTTCAGTGGGTATAAACACAATGTTATGTATTTTTGGATATGTTGGAGAATTTCACACATGCACACATATACACATTATATATATCTATCTATATATATATATGTTTGAACATTGAAATTTATATATATGCATGTATATCATTGGCTTATCCTTGGTCTAATGAAATGCAGAATAATATGGACAATTCTCCAGCTATCTCCTTGTATAGAGTATAAGGCTGCAGATTTAGATATGACATAAAACTGTATCAAGTATTTTGAAGTGCACCTCAATTCATACTCATAAATAAGAAATAAGGCAGAGAAAGCATTAATGATTGTATTGATTATTACACTGTAATAGCTGAAAAGCAATGCAAGTCAGAATGCTTGGTAACTGAAGTAAGAAATGAGATGCCTCGGCTCTTTACATCAGGATTTTGGAGGCTCAAGTCATTTCATATGTGATAATGTTCACTGCTATATAATGAAGGAAGTCTATTATATCCACATTTTATATAGGTAGATACAAAATCATTGCAGTGTATATTTTATAAGTGTCCCAATGTAAGGTATAATTGACCGTAATGAGAGAGATTTTTCAGATTCTATTACAAAATTATCTTGTATGTACTATGTGGCAATCATGTTGAAATAAGAAGGGCTAAATAAATTCATACATTGCTGTAGTTCTTTTTTTTCCAGTCCAGAGAAAAATGTTTTACTACAAAAATTTTAGGTTTGACAGAGAAATGCAAGATACATCAATAAACCCTGCACTTAACAAATAAAATATATATAACATATATTACAACCCATTTACAAGAATTTCAGTCAATAACAGAATTATTGGGAAAAAATACAGAATATTAATAATAATAAAAAAGTGATTTCCAAATATTCACTATTTGTAAGAGAGCTTTTAAAGATAATGCAGCATTAAATGAACTCTGATGGCAACAGACTGTGCTATTAATCAGTCAATTATGAGTGAATCTTAGACATTATTGATAATGCTACTGTGTGAAACAAATAACATTGAAATGCTAAAGGCATACAGCTAATGAGAAGTCTTTAATCCATCCCAAGAGTGGACCACTTTAATTTTCAGCCCATATAGTGGTTTGGCTTGAAATCTGTGCCACTAGAAAGAGACTATATATAAAAGTTTCTTAATAAAAATCTATAACAATTAACTGTACATCATACAATAATTTCAGTGTTACAGTAAAACCTCTTTGTAGTGCCAGTCTTTCAGTGAAACTATTTCATACTCTGAATACACCAGTGAGATTTGATACTACAGTGGAGTGGAATCTTTACTTCATAATACAACTGTTTTTTTCCCTAAATCCTTCTGATTATATACTATACTTGTTCAAATCTCCAGCTAAAACCATCTCCTCAGTTTTCTGTATCACAATTATCAACAGAAGCAGAATTAGGGTTTATGGCATGACAACAAAAAAGTCTTACTGTATTATATACCTGACCCTTGTTAATTAATCAAACATATGATAAATTAAGCAGGCCTCTTTATCATATATCAAATATAACATTAGACTAGGAAATTACTCTCTCTTAACCCACTTGCTGCCAGGGGCAAATATGCTTGGCACATTTTATTGGTTATTCCATTAACATACCCACCCCCTTATCCCCTACATGAAAGCAACCTTTAAGATCACAAAGTTTCAAATGGAAAAAAAAAAAAGAAAAAAAAAAAAAAAAAAAAAAAAAAAAAAAAAAAAAAAAAAAACAGCATCAACAGATAACTAGCATCACCTTCAATGTTTTCTTCTCACAAAACTCAAAGTAGAAGAAAAATGGACAAAATGATTATCCACTAAAAACCTCCTTGCCCTTTAATCCTTCATAACATACAAAAACTCTTGGAACATATTTCAGAAAGAGAAAAATCACATGATAAAAATGAAATGTTCCAGCAAATGGGTTAACAGACACAATGTGAAAGAAATCATAAGATATAGCAAAAATAATTGGTCCTATGATATAATGGATGTATTATTCTGGCTAATTAAAATCTCAATAGTTAAACATTACAAAAACAATACTAAATTACACAAAAAATGCATAAAACTGAGACAGAGAAAAAAAGGGCAGACATAACAAAATCATAATTATAAAAAAGTTAAAAAAATATTTTCAAATAAATTCTTTGAAAGAAGATTTATAGTCATGAAAACAAGGAGAAGAAAAAAAGAAAAAGCTTCACATGGAGCATTCGAAGCCGGTGAAGATCCACTTGCGTTCCAGACAAGCACCGACCCCAGTTGTGATTTGCTTGAAGACTGTTGGGTACCTTTAAGGATTTGAAAATACTACCATTAGCACTATAATATTATCAATACCTTTGTTAAAATAGAAAACTCCAATTAGTGCTAAAGAAAGATACTAAACCTTATTACAGTGTACAGAAACAATGAAACTGTATTCAAATCAATTCTTTTATAAAACTGTAATATCCAAGACAATATCTCAAAAGACCATTTTATTCGCTCCAAATTAACTTGAATGTACTGTTTTTTCATGAGGGAAATACTTGTATATTTAATCAAGTTAATCAAGACACAAAAAATTGTTTAGGAATATCAAAAGCTTTGTATAAAAAAAAATCTATTATTACGAAGTTGCTATCTGTAATTGTAAATATATTAAAACTCATATACTTACTGGTTTAACATTGTTTCTATGTCAGATGGACGGATTTCCTTATCAAATTGTTGAATAAATGACCAGATATAGTCAACACTAGCTCCTTTAGGATGTATGTGAAGGAACGTCGAAGTCAGACCTGATGAAAATGAATAAAAGACCTTGATATAGTTTCAAAATTTACGATTTCATAATCACAATCCTAAAATATATTCACTTTTGCTAAATCATTTATAGTCAACAGAGTGAGGAAAAGCAAAAGACAAGATTAGAAAAGGAAACCAAAATGAAAAGTAGAAGAATGAATAAATAAAGCCCCACCAATGAGACGAGCAGCTTTGTCAGTCACAGGAGCACTGGCTATTGATGACAAGTCTTCTACTTCGTCCTTGTTGTCTTCTTCTCCTTCTGCGCTTGTTCCAGCTTGTTCTCGTGCTTTCTTTAGTTTGGCTCTTAATTCAGCTAATTTCGCATCATCCTGTCGCTTACGAATTGCATTCTCCGAAAGTGTCTAAAATAAGTGTGAGAAATAAATAGAATTATAATAAGATCAAAACTGAATGGTAGTAACTCAACTTTAAAGATTGCCATTTTTCATAAATGAGCTTTATATGATTTCTCACTTATATGATTTTCTTCTGTTGTAAATCATACGATCAGTCTCGATATGCAGTCTCTTACCTGCTGCATGCCCTGCAGGGTCTTCTTGAGAGCTTCTATCTGGTCATCTCTCATAGCTACCTCCGCCTTCAGATCAGCTTTTATTAGGTCAACCTCATTCTTGTAGGCTTCCATCTGACACCGTAGGCTATCATTCTCTTCCTGGAATATAAAGAACCCATGTATAAATTTGTTCTCACTGTTTACAACTTTGGTAATTAAAGCTGGCTTTATTA